TCTGTAAAAAACATTGACTCGAATATGTCAGCAAAATTTAAAAAAAAAAGTGTAAACGAAATTTTTTTTTAATTGGCTTTGTTCACTTGTTAGATTTCTGGCTTAAATTATGTAAAGTAGGGTATAGCATAATCAGTTGATATTTATACTGTCACATGGTGTGTGTGTGTGTGTGTGCGTGTGCGTGTGTGTGTGTGTGTGTGTGTGACTGTGATATCAATGTATATTCCTCAAACAAACATGCTTCTCAGGATGTAGATGCACATTCTCCTGGACGTCTTTTAGTACTGACTGTTATCGCTGTCTTTTACTACTGCTGTTTTCACTCACAGTGGCAGCACTGCAACAGTTTGCAGGTCTCTCAACACATAACACAATCCACTGTGGGCATTTCCAAGCAGCCCGTAAAACGCTGCGGCCTCCGAAACAGCATGCTCCATTTAGCTCATGCCACCCCCTGTGTGGATAAACAACTCCCTCTTAAACTCAACTTCTCCACTAACTTGAAAAATTATAAGAACAAATGAAAGAATCCTAAACCAATTATCAAACATCATGCTTTCTATAGCCAGTAGCATTACATTTACATTTACATTTAGTCATTTTGCAGACGCTTTTATCCAAAGCGACTTACAATTTGGGGATACATAAAGCGATTCTTCTTAAAGAGGCAAACAGATACAGGAAGTGCTTGTAATACCAAGTTTCTAGACATTGTTCAAATAAGTACAAGCTAGAAAGAGAAGGAATAAATAAAGAGACAGAAATTATTATTGTTTTTTTATAATGATGATGATGAAGTCAAGTAGCTTCGAAAGAGATGAGTTTTCAGCTGTCGCTTGAAAATTGTCAGGGATTCAGCATTCCGGATAGGGGTGGGAAGATCGTTCCACCAGCCAGGAATGGTGAACGAGAATGTTCTGGAAAGTGATTTTGAGCCTCTCTGTGATGGTACCACGAGGCGTCGCTCACTAGCGGATCTCAGACTTCTGGAGGGGATGTAGATTCGTAGTAGTGAGTGGAAGTAGGCGGGTGCTGAGCCTGTGGCTGTTCTATATTCCTGCATCAATGTCTTGAACTTGATGCGAGCCGCGACCGGTAGCCAGTGCAAGGAGATAAAGAGAGGTGTAACATGGGCTCTTTTGGGCTCGTTGAAGACCAGTCGTACCGCTGCATTCTGAATCATTTGTAGAGGTTTGATTGTGCTTGATGGAAGTCCAGCCAGAAGATATATGCAGTAGTCCAGCCTAGAGATGACAAGGGCCTGGACAAGAAGTTGTGCAGCATGCTCCGTTAGAAAGGGCCTGATCTTTCTGATGTTGTGCAATGCAAACCTGCAAGATCGAGCGGTCTTTGCAATGTGGTCTTTGAAGGTCAGCTGGTCATCAAAGGTTACACCAAGATTTCTGACCGAAGTTGATGGGGTCAAGCAGTCAAAAAGATTCTTTCCACGTGATTTAGCATGATGAATCATAGCTGTAATGAACTGATTTGGTGTATCCAGCTTGTTGGTTGTTTATTTTCTCTCCTTTTTCACATTCCCTTGCTGTGTTGGAAATGACTTATTTAGACTCTCAGAGGAATGTATTTCAACAGATGTGTTTCGCACCACAATCAGCGCAGTGTACCGCTTATCAAAGCCAGCTGTGGATGGAGGTGTGTGTCAGCAAAGCATCCTTAGATGGAGCTATATTTAAACACTGTAGTCAAAAGGTGTGAGGAAACCATGTGAAAGAACATCCGCGATTAGTTTTTCTAGTCTGCTAGTGGTTACTGTAACTACACTATTATGGTCTTTCTTCACTGATAGCCATAGCATTCTGGCCACACACAATCTATCTATATGTGTGTGTGTGTGTGTGTGTGTGTGTGTGTGTGTGTGTGTGTGTGTGTGTGTGTGTGTGTGTGTGTGTGTGTGTGTGTGTGTGTGTGTGTGTGTGTGTGTGTGTGTGTGTGTGTGTGTGTGTGTGTGTGTGTGTGTGTCTGTTTGTTGTTGAAGCTCTCTTGGTTCTCTCTTCAACTGTCTGGTCTAAATGCCATCTGGAGTGTAAATTGAGCTGTAAGTTTGACGGTGTATCAAGGTCTCCCATTGAAAGTTTAAGTGTGACGGATATATATATATATATATATATATAAAACACATACACACACATCTGTTTTTGGTGTCCTGTCCTTGGAAATGTCCTTGTTTTACAGCATGTTTTTCACTGCTTTTATCCATGAAGAACTTTACCTGGATGAGAGCGGAGCATTATTATCATTAATAATCAAAAGAGAATTTGTTATCGGTTTCAAGGTAGTCACATGCTAACTATTTGATATTTGCAATGATTAATATTTACTTTTTTCATCGTGTGTGTTTTGGTGAATTAAATCAAAACCTATTTGACGCTAACGTCCCTCATACCTATTAATTATAATAATTAATTATGGAACCCACAACAATTTAAAAAAAAGGAAAAAGCATGCAAAAATGTATAGTTTTATTTCTTAGATAATAACAAGTGAGATTTCAATGATGTTTTGACAAATGAACAAGGAAACGTCCCCAGTTTCCATTTCAGCAATCTGGTCTCCTTAGTTTAAATATTGTAACTCTATTACAAATTCTTAGGATTGCTGTACCACTATTCTTAAATTAATAGTTCACCCAAAAATTATTATTATTATTTTTTGAAAATTGACTGACCTCTTCATCACAACAGGTTTGGAGAAATTTGGCATTACATCACTTGCTCACCAATGGATCCTCTGCAGTGAATGGGTGCCGTCAGAATGAGAGTCCAAACACCTATTTAAAACATCATAATAATCCACAAATAATCTACACAACTCCAGTCCATCAGTTAACTTCTTGTGAAAAGAATAGTTGCATGTTTGTAAGAAATAAATCCATCATTAAGGCATTTTAACTTTAAACCATTGCTTCTGGCCAAAATACCAGTCCATGATCCATAATAACGCTTTCCTCCAATGAAACATATAGTTAAAGCCTAGATTTTTCCATGAAAATCCCAGGAATCCCAAACAATTTGTCTGTGCTTTTCACAAACCCACCCTCTCTCATATTTATAACAATAAATGCACCAACGGCATGAAGATTTATGGTTCTGAAGCAATTTAATAAGCCATTTTTGCTTTGCATGCACAAATGTGAAAGTTTGGTGCATTGTGGCAGCCTTGAACACCGTCCACACCAGCATTGCTTCACTCTGTATGCAATAGACATATTACATTTCAACGTTTTCACCACTCTTGTAAATCCAACCCTTAAGGGGATGCCAACTGGTGAGGTGGACAATAATTGCCAGCGTGGAAGCTGAGCGATCCTAATCATCGGGTGTAATCCTACATGTGTTAAACCACACTCAGTTGGCGCGTTTACATGAGACAAACCCCTTTGTATGCGATTATATTCCTGTTTTCCCCCTAACACCACAGTATAAACTGTAAAACCTCTAGTGAGCACTTGAGCTTGACCACAGAAAATGGTCACATTACATGCAATTTTAACTAAGGCCAGTCTTACTGTAGTGGCTAACTCTAAACGCTCGGTATGTTTTCTGCTTCATGGAATGTCGCTGGAGCCTGGCTGGAGCGATTTCCTCCCGCAGTGTCCATCCAGTCAGGCCGAATGGGTGTTTTGCAGGATTTTGTGGTGGAGAAATTCGCTTCTGCATGGGACAGTGATTTAGCCTGGCTTTTCCACTCATTCCCTCTGGCATTGAAAGCTCTCATCACAAGCTTCCTTTCAGCACCGGAACAGCAGCTATAGCATGGAAAGCCAGACGTGTAGTGCTAGACCTGGAGCCTTATGTTTGTCTTCCTCCTTCGCGGAGAGAGAATTATATGGCTTGGCTTGTCTTGTGGCTTGCTTTAGATTCTTAAACAGCCTTGTTACTAAAACATGTGTGGGGTCATGAAATGAACTGTGATGAAATATGAAATTTGTTTCATTTTTTCCTCAAATTACATTTAATTTTTTTCCCATGTTACTTGTTTTACTTTTTCATTTTTACATTTTAATAAATGAAATCATATTTAATAATTAAAATTAAACTTCAACAATGTATTAATGAAACTATTAAAAATAATGTAGAAATTCAGTGTGTTCTGCATATTTAATTAATCTTTAAAAAATGTAATCAAATAAAAATTGAACAATTCATTTATTTTTTTGCAAACAAGGTGGGTTTAAGTGGGTGGAAAAGTTGTAAAGTGGACCAGACATTGTGCCGTTAGCCAGAGGTCTTTCTGTGGGACACTAAGCAGAGGTCTACTTCATGTTGGCATGAAGGTTGGGAAAGTGGATTAGTTCAGGGGAATTTGGGGGTTTTTGCAACACAATGAGACAGATGTTTATGGTGCGGAAGTCAATGACAGAATGAGCAAGTGCTGGAATGATATAAATATTGTCTGGATTTATTTAACCGTGAAGCACTGTATGCAGTTTTCTGCCAGCCCTACTTGAACCCAACATTAGTCGTGTGAGATAGGACTTACCACATAATTTATATGAGTAAATGGCCATATCATTGATGAAGGTTTATGATGAATATAATAGCTGCTTATCAATATAATAACTGCCTGATTGCCTATGCAGAACTGACTTACTATGTCAAGGTATTTTGGGTGTTGTTGTTGTTTTGAAATATCGTTCAGAGGTTTGAGGTTGGTAACATTTTCTAAATGTTTTGAAAGAAGTCTCTTATGCTCACTAAAAAAATATAGCAAAAACAGTAATAATTTAAGAATTTATTACAATTTGAAAAAACTGTTTTCTATTTAAATGTATATTAAAATGTCATTTATTCCTATGATGCAAAGCTGTATTTTCAGCGTCATTACTCCAATCTTCAGTGTCACATGATCCTTCAGAAATCATTCTAATATGCCGATGTGCTGCTTAGTTAGTGGTTTGTTTAACTAATTAATTTTTGAAAATGCTGTAAATAGGTAAATAAACCTTATGACATGCCTTATGTATTTTTCTCTTTCAGATCCACATATCAAAGTTAGCGGTAAGAGAGACAATGTGAAAGAAGCCAAGGAGAAGATCATGTCTGTCCTGGACACAAAGGTGAGCATGTCAAGTCAGATTTGATGATTCGTATTTGATATGTCATTGTGCATTTCAAAAATGCCTCATTCGTCATCCCTGTCATTCTTGGTTGCTGTAGTAGCTGGATGCGTTTGGTTTTACGACAGCTGTGACATTTGAAGCAATGGAATTTGAGGATCCTGAGAGGAACTATGTGGAGCTTGACATCAGGAGCTCCTCCTGTATTTATAAGCAATGAATCATGGCTTAAATCATATTTGGAGAAAAAGGAAGACACATTATGGCACTGGCTGACTGAAGCCATTGGTGGTTTAGGGGCATCTGACATCTGTGGCTTCTGCTTTAACAAAACATTTCAGACTATATCCATTCTTCTGGTAATTTATGCCAGACATAATGCAGAACATCCACCAATGCCAACTGAAGAGTTGGTTGTAACATCACTGTAGATTTGTGAGGTAATTTCCCTCAAGCGCTTGACGTGAAATGGGAAATGGTGTGTATTGACATCTTTCTGTAGACTTGATGTAATGGAAATCTGACTTGGCTCTAGCTCATAGATCTAATTCAATCTGTCACAACTTTAATGAAGCTACTCAGAGGAGCAGGATCTGTTTTCCTGTATTTAAAACTTTGTTACACCTTCAAAACTGAGGTGACTATGGTACTGCAGTTAATACAATCCAACTCTTTTGTTTCTTCAGAGCAATCGCGTGACTCTAAAGATGGACGTCTCACATACCGAGCATTCACATGTCATCGGCAAAGGGGGAAACAATATCAAGAAGGTGATGGAGGACACGGGCTGTCACATCCACTTCCCCGACTCCAACCGCAACAACCAGGCTGAGAAGAGCAACCAGGTGGGATTCTGACTTACCCAGCTTACCCAGAGAAAATATAAGGAACGGTCCCACTTTATATTAAGTGGCCCTAATACCTGTGTACTTGCATAGTAACTAGATGTGTACATAGTATGTAACCACAGTGTAAGTACACATTGGTACATAGTATCTACAGCTGTAATGTTTGTGTAACTACACACATGTAACAACCCACTGAATAGTATGTGTAAATACAAATGTGTAACAGGACATTGGTAACAACACTTTTTGGTAATGAAAGTACAAATGTGTAACAGGACTAACAGCACCTTTTGGTAAAGAAAGTGTTACACTTTATATTAGATTTATCATGTAATTACTCAGCACATGATGTTACACAGCATGCGGCCAGTAAGTTAGGCTTTACATAAATTGTGGTTGGTGTCCAGAATGTTACACTTTATATTAAGTGGACAGTTCCTGAGGAGTTACCATGTAAGTACACTGGAATTACAGTGGTGCACCAACTCCTCCCACTTTACATATCGCTAAACCTACCCATCTCCACCCCCTGGATCAAATTGTTCCAATTACTCTTATACATATTGTTGTTACAAAATGTAGTTATATATGTCCTGTTACACATTTGTACTTACACAAACCATCCTGAGGGTTGTTACATGTGTGTAGTTACAGAAATATTACAGCTCTAGATACTATGTACCAATGTGTACTTACACTGTGGTTACATACTACGTACACATCTAGTTACTATGTAAGTACAGAGGTATTAGGGCCACTTAATATAAAGTGGGACCCAGCATTATTTTTTACAACAATTAAAGGGAAAGTTCACCCAAACATGAAAATTCTGTCATCATTTACTCACCCTCATGTCGTTCCAAACCTGTATGAGTTGCTTTCTTATGTTGAACACAAAAGAAGATATCAAGTTTTAATTTACATAATGTATATGTACGTTTTACTTTTGGTTTTTCGTGTAATTGTTATTATGCTCAGTATACTGAAATACAGTATTTTTTTATTATCATAAGATAATTGCATAAATATCACCACAGTAATGAGAATGGGGGTATGATTAATTGTTATACAAATAATGATAAATGTCAAAAATCGTGATGTTCATTAGTTTGACTTTCTTTAATAAAATTAAATAAATCGGTTGGTAATAAAATAAGTCTCTTATGCTGCATTTATTAGATTTAAAACAGTGCAAAACAGTACTGTTGTTCAATATTAATAACTTTTCTGTTTTAGTGTATTGTAAATTGTAATTTATTCCTCTGATGGCAAAGCTGAATTTTTACCATTATTAATTCAGTCTTCAGTGTCACACGATCCTTCAGAAATAATTCTAATATGCTGATTTGATGCATAGAAACATTTCTTATTATAATCAATGCTGAATACCGTGCTGCTTAATGTTTTTGTAGAAACTGATCATTTTTTTGTCAGGATTATTCTTTCTTTCTGTCACTTTTGATCAGTTTTATTCATCCTTGCTGAACAGAAGTATTAATTTCCTTAAAAAACCTTTTGAATGGAAGAATATATGCAAACATAATATTATAATAATAATACTATAATTTATACTTATAAATTATATGTGTATGTTTGAAATTATGTTCTTGTTATTTTGGGTTGAAATATGACCTGGGCATGTTTCTTGACAGGTTTCTTGAGATATTCACCTAAAAGATTATAATTTCCATTTCAGGTCCTGGAGCTGTTTTGATTTCTAAAATGAGTTTATGTATCACTGAGCTACTCATTGTATGCATATTGTCTGCAGCCTAAGGGAGGTAAAGACTGAGCCATAATTGGATGTGAGACATGTTTCCAGACTTGATAAAATGGGGAATGTGGAAATTGAGCAATGACATGGCCCTCCCTCAGTGTGGGCTCATGTGTTGGGTTCAGAGTGGCTGGTACTTGCTGACAGGTGAATGAGAGCCAGCCAGGGCAGAATGAAGAAATCTCACCTCCTAGTGGTGCTCGTATGATAACATTTGGCAGACGAGTATTTTTCATTCTTAAGGGATTCGTTCACGCAAAAATGAAAATCATTTACTCAGCCTCATGTCGTTCCAAAATGCATGACACTTGTTTTTCTGTGGAAAACAAATGAAAATCAAATCAAATATAACTTATAACTTGTTCTCCGTGAGTATACATCTGACTTTCTTGTTCCTTTTCTGCAGGTGTCCATAGCCGGCCAGCCAGGAGGAGTGGAGGCCGCCAGAGCCCGAATTCGGGTAAATAAACATTCATAATATGAGTACAAACATCTGTGTTATTCTGCGATAAAGGCAGGAAGTAGAAGTGGGAGGCTGTTATTTATCTTGAGGAAGTGGACAGGTACAGGGGGTGTTAACATAAATGATTTTTTGGATGAGATAAACACATTCCTCAGCATCCCAGCAGTCGTCCCGGTAACACAACAAGAAGCATTCATCTTTCTCCTGATGTTTCTAGTTGAGAACTTGGTGCTTGAATCAGAACCGTTGCCCTCTGTTGGTATTTCATAAGCATTACAGCCACGTCTATCCATTTCGATGGCATAAAAACCTTCCTTTCACAAAGCTTTACAGGCAAAAGCCTTTTAATGGGATAAAACATGAGGAATAAGAAGGTTGTAGGAAGCTTTTGACACTCAAGGTCTTGAGTTTTACTTATAAGACCAGCTTTAATAATGGCTTGATGCGGAACACATGGTGCCAATTGAAGCTGATATCTTGACTGTTTGGCCGGGTGTCGCCTGTGCGCTCCTGCTCCGTCCAGACTCTTTTCTCGAATTTCACCAGCGCCAGGGCTCCGCACACGTGCTTCCTCCTCAGAGAGAACCAAGAAAAACAAGCCAAAGCATTCGAGCACAGCGGGCTTCCTTAGTGTTTGCATAAAGACCGAGCCCCAATTAACTCGAGGACGTTCTACACCAGAAACTATCATAAGCCTTCACTATTGTTTCACGAAGCAATTTGTATAAAATGAGTACCTTTGAAAAACCAGGCTGCTCCATTTTTCATGTCCAAAACACATAAAGTTCTGTGGGTGAAATGTATATTTGAGGGAAGGATGTCAATGGGGCAGCCTCAATTTTTCTCTTCCTCGTTCGCGTGACCAGAACTGCTGGGAATTCTTGTCTTGACCACCTAATCATCTCCAATTTTTCCTCTTTTCTCTCTTCAAAAGATCTTCACCCAAAGTCGTTTTGATGCTTTATTGTGCCGTTACACCCATGTGAATGGTATAGCGCCAGTATAATTCTCACACTTAACCTCATGTCAAGTTTGAAGTCTCTTTTCAGGCCAACTGAGATTGTTGCGGTAAAGTCAGAATGCAAATTAAGATTTTTTTATGAAACCTGAGAGGTTTCTGTCCCTCCAATACAAATCCAGGTAACCAAAAGTTAAAAGGTTATAAAGGAGGCGTAAAACAAATCCATATCAATAGAGCAGTCTAATCCAAGTCTTATAAAGAGATGTGATCACTTTATATGATGATGAGTAAGTGATGACAGGATTTTTATTTTTGGATCTATTTAATGTTATGTTGCACAAAGGTCAATGATAAATAACTGCATCCACAAGAAAGAAAAGAAAAAAGTCTTTCAACATTTTTTTTATTTTTTATTTTAATTTCATTTGTGATGGTTTTGATAAAATGTTCTACCATTTTCAAAGTATAAATGAATCTAAAAATGTTGTGGTGTAACAATAAAGTAAAAATTAATAATGTATTTCAGTGTACACATCATAATCATTATTTAAAAATAATAATACATTTATGTTTTTTCCATTTTTTACTTATTTATTTTATTATTATTTTTTATGTATATCATAAAAGAATTAATTCATAAAAATGAATACATTTTGGGCAACTGGACCACCACATTATATTTTACAACCTGAACTAACCTTGCCTTGTCATAAAAAGGTCAAATAATCTCAACTTGAGCAGTTTTTTTCTCTAAGTAAAAATAATAAAATATTATTCCAAACTTAAAGTTATGAAACATTTTTCATTGATTACATAAGGGTGAGTAAACAATGACAGAATTTTCCTTTAAGGAAGATTTGTGATATTAGGACGCTACGTTATGGTCCTAAATAACTATCAAAATGTATTTTAATTCAAAATATTTAAAACATCATCATAGAAAAGCTGTATTCAAACACTGAGCATCATGTCATTGACCCACAAGCAAAATGTTTGTATTGCATGTTTGTGTTTGAGACCCTGCGTGTTTGGCCATGTCCCAACACTTGATGCTTGAGCGATTAGTCCGTTTAAAGATTAGCCTTGCCTTCTTGGAGGGACCTAGTTCATTTCAATGGAATGATGCACAGAGCATCCTCCTCGCTCTTTGGATGCGTGTTGTCTGTGAAAACAGAAAGCAAGTACAGCAGTTATTGATTCTACAGAAGGTCAGAGGAAAGCTCAGACCTCTTGTTTGTAAAAGATCAGAATACAGAGCTCCCCTCCAAATTCCTTATTAACAATAAGCAAAACAAAACACAGGAGGATTTTGTTTGGAAAGCTTTGCTCATAGCCAATGCATAAGCCTTTGGTTAAAAATAGCCATGGTTATGGTTTTAATAGCTCAAGAATGAGGAGAACCATTAACAAAGATGAATGTGCAGATCTTTCTTTTTGGCCCCTGGTACAGAATATGAGGGTGAGCAGAGCCCCCACAGCATATGGGACTGATCAGAGCTGCATTTTTAAGGCTTGGCTATTCATTCTGTTTACCAATTCAGATTGGTAAGGCACTGTTTGCTGGGCTCTTGATGACCCTAAATCACAGTAGAATGATGGGAAATATTTGCTTATTCCGCTTTGTTTCTGAAGACTTCATGGCTTGAATGTCGGCCAAATGGCCTGCTAGCAGTAACTGTAAGTTTGGCCAGCATTCATTCAGAGCAAACCATGTTGTTCACATTTAAAGCCAAGCACACACTATCTTGTCACCCTGTGCACATTTAAAAACTTGAGTTTCTTGTTTCCCTTTGTCAAAATCATTATGCACAGCTAATTGTAGACTGTGTGCATCAGTTACAGTCGCTCTCTTCATCAGCTGTGCCTATAGTCCCAAAATGGCATTCTTGCTCACAGCTAAGCATGAGTTGATTCTTGAAGCCTTCAACCAAAAATGAAAATTTGCAGAATGTATTCACCCTCAGGAGATCCTACATGTAGATGAGTTTGTTTCTTCATTGGAACATATTTGGCAAAATGTATCATTACATCACTTGCTCACCAATGGATCCTCTGCAGTGAATGGGTGCCGTCAGAATGAGAGTCCAAAAAATCTAAAGAAATCCATAAAGGTGTTTAACTGTAAACCGCCACTTCTGGCCAAAATAGTCCATAGTCCAATAGTCCAAAAGAGTCCATAATATCCATAATAACGTTTCCTCCAGTGGAAAAATCCCATCCCCTGTTGTCCTCTCACATCAAAATCCACTGACATATTTGTTTACAGTTATTTTGTGGATTATTTTTGCTTATAAATGGTTCTTCATTATTGATAGAGGACTTGTATTTTAGTTGGAAGCAATGGTTTGAAGTAAAAAAAAAAATCTTGATGAATTTGTTCGTGCAAACATGCAGCTTTTCACTTTAAAACATGTTAATTGATGACTGGAGTGGTGTGGATTACTTGTGGATTATTGTGATGTTTTTATCAGCTGTTTGGACTCTCATTCTGATGGCACCCATTTACTGCAGAGGATTTTTTAAAACCTACTTTGAGGATTTTACACATGTGCATTCAATGCAATTAAGTGCAATTTTGTCACAATTAATATCTTGGGCTGTTGCTCGTGTGGGAAACGTGGGTTTGAATCAGTTTCCAGTTTACTCTAGTAAAATGTTTCAAAAGCCCCCCAAAAAAGAAAAAGCCATTTGAGCCAGATTGGGTCTGTTGATTAATTACCCATGATCCTAACCTGTCAGCAGCAGAAATAATAAAATTGATATCAGTTTAATGACTATAATTCAATATCAATAATTCAGATTGCATTAACTGATGGGTTTGTTGGTCTTCTTTCAGGAGTTACTTCCTTTGGTGTTGATGTTCGAGCTGCCAGTCATAGTACAGCTGAACCCTGACCCCAGCTCTCCTGCCATCCAGCACATCTCCCAGACGTACAACATCTCTGTGGCCTTCAAACAAAGGTCCAGACTCTATGGAGCAACAGGAGTAGTGCGGGGCTCACAGAATAATGCTGAAGCCGTGAAGGTGAGACACTCATACACTAACATATGGGGCAAAATCAGTTGCTGCCCTCCCCCCTCTTTTTTTTTTTCAGGACAAAAATCTGAGAAGCAGATAGATTTCTATGAAAATACAAAAACTTGTATTCTCATAGAAATCTATCTTGGTTTTTAAGGGCTTAAAGGTCTTATTTCACCATTCCACAAAATAAGACTTTAAAAAATCTTAAAAAGGGCATAAAATGTTGCATGCATTGCTAAAAATTTATATATTTCTCAGTATTTTTGTCTTGTTTTCCAGTACAAATACCTAAACGTCCTTAAAGGGATAGTTAACCCAAAAATTAAAATTCTGTCATTATGCAAAAAAACTAAAATAACAACTTTATTTAACAATTCTTCTCCTCTGTGTCACCCTAGTGCCATTTTGGAGAATACTACGACGCATACCCATGCTTTCCTCTGAATGTAAACAAGGTGCAGTGCAATGCTTGTTTTGCGTCAGCAGCACCACGGGTACGCGTTTTTTACGTGCAGATCAAAGCACGTGCATGCGTTGTGGTACACTCCAAAATGGCGCTATTTATGATATAAAGATATTTTGTCGATCTTCTTGGTACCGTTCTGGACCTTGAATGTGGTAGCACCCTTGCTGTCTACGGAGGGTCAGAAAGCTCTCGGATTTCATCAAAAATATCTTAATTTGTGTTCCGAAGATGAACGAAGGTCTTACAGGTTTGGAACGACATGAGGGTCAGTAATTAATGACAGAATTTTCATTTTTGGGTTCATTTTTTCTTTAAATTAAGATACATTTACTTGAGATGCAAAATGAAGATACAAAGTCTTGTTTTCTGAGAAATTGAACAAAATTGTGCTTGTTTGTTCATTTTTTTTTTTAAAGAACAAATATCTGTAAATGGGATATGAAAATATATTTTCCCTTTGAATTAACTTATTTTTCCTAAGTCCATTTGTGGACGTTTGTTATGTTTTTATCATAAACTCACTTGATTTTGATCAGTTCAATCAATTGTTCCATTAATTCTCCCTTAATTTTAATTGTATAGATTAAAGAGATCGGTACAAAGTTGTATTTTGAAATTCTGAAGTATTGTTAATGCAAATTATTGAGAGAACATAATGACTTGGTCTTAAAAATGTCTTCAAAAAGTATTAAATTGACCTTCTTAAAGCCTGCAGAAACCCTACATTTTAAAGGAATATTCCTATGGGGTAATATGTTTGCAAAGCATGTTCATCTCCTAAAGAGAACATCCTCATTAGCTCCAGAGAAGATCACAGTAAATCCTCCAGCAGACACCTACAAAGCCTTTTATCTCTGTGTGTCTGTGGTGATTGCCACACTTTGGACTGAGCGTCTAGTGTGAAAGAAGCCTGCTTTTCTTCCCAAAGAGAATCTTCTTCCATCTCTGGTCTTGAGGAAGGGTCTAGGGCTGGAGTTGTCCTGTGGGCTGCTGGCTATGCCTGGTATGTGTTGAGAGCTGAAGTGAGGAGTTTGTTGCCAAAACCGCCTACAAACACGGCCAGAAAGGAACCCCAAAAGAGCCCCTTTGCCTTTCCTCTCTTCCCCTAGTTTTATGGCACGCTGAAAGAAACTCCCCGATCTAGGCCATTCTCAGGGTCGTATATGCCAGATGGAAAAGCAAGAACATAAAGAGGTTCTTGTTTACTAAAACACGCTCCATTAGTGTCAAAAGCACCAGTCGTATTGGTAGATCGTAACCAGGGTGGTTGTGATTGACGTGAGTTTGAAAAAGCTGTCTGTGAGGTATTCATGGTTTTGTTCAGGGTCAGAAATAAACTTTTCCATTAAAGGGCAACATTTGTCCCCTGAATTACTTTCCAAAGGCATTTTTTTTACCTTTGTAAATGCATTTTTTATAATTACTTGATTAGATGTATCTGTGTTGTCTTTTATGTCAAATACTTCAATTTAAGCGATTACTTCCATCAATTAGAATACTGTAGACTGTTAACAATAAAATTTGATCAACAAAAGTCATCTTTACACTGCAAACATGTGTCACTTTCTTTCTCGCAGTTACAAGTTTATATCTCACAATTCGTGTGAGTTTATATCTTGCAATTGAAAGTTATAAACTTACAATTATGAGTTAACATCTTACAATAATCTTACAATTTATAATAAATGATAACATCTTACAATATGACGGTTTTCTTAGAATTGCACAAAGAAAGGTTTGCAAGAATTGCAAGATATAAACTCAGAATTGTGCAAAATAAAGTCAGAACTGAAGACTTTTTATCATCTCGCAGTTCTCGCAATTGCGAGTTATAAAGTCAGAAATGAAACAATTGCAAGAAATAAAGTAGTAAAATAAATCAATTCTGAGGAAAAAGTTGTGATGCATAAATTGGGAGATATAAACTCACAATTCTGAGAAAAAAAAACTTTTGCACTCACAATTGCAAAAAAAAAAAAAAATCTGAATTGTGAGATAGAGTTGTAATCGCCTTTTTAAAATGTTTATCCCATGGCAGAAATGGATTTCCATACAAAACAGTTACTCAAAATGCTGCAGTCAACACTTTTTATTCATTTTCACATTTCATTTTGATTGTGTCAGCTGTAATAGATTGTGCAGGGGCATTTTTTAAATTCGGGAGGCAGCTTTGTTCATTACGTGGCATTTTTGCCCCAAGTCCCCATTCATTTCCAACCCTGGTGTCATTGCAGAGGGGCACAGCGGTTTTACTGGAGCACCTCACGGGCAACCTGGCCAGCGCCATCACGGTCAGCACGCAGCTTGACATCGCGCCCCAGCACCACCTCTTCATAATGGGCCGCAACGGCAGCAACATCAAGCACATCATGCAGCGCACAGGAGCGCAGGTCCACTTCCCAGACCCCAACTGCCCACAGAAGAAATCCACCGTCTATGTGCAGGGAACCATTGACTCTGTGTGTCTGGCTCGCCAGTACCTGATGGTGAGAGATTTTTTTGTTCTTTATTTCTCATGCCACAGTGTTTTTGAATGCCACAAATCATGCAGCTTTTGAGGAAAGTGTACTATTTTTTCTAAGCATTCAGACTTGAAATTATACACTTGCAGCGACTAATTTTCTTTTTACTCTTCTACTCTTGTTAATAGAATCAATGACATGACCTTTTGCTTGTCCTGATTTATCAATTTATTTAGAAAAATAAAATAGGAAATTTTATCATAGAGAGGAGGACCCCTGCAGATCCTCATGACTGCGTGTTAAAGTCAATAAATATCTTAATTTACAGCTTGTAAGCAATATCACATTTACCTCTGAAAAAGACAAGCATATTTATTATATTTTTACTTAACCTGTTGTCTTCATTATTTAAGGTGTTTGTATAAATCAGTCATGAATGCAAATGACAATATTACAACCACAGTTTAATTGTTTGTTACAGCAAAGTTTTAAAGGGGTCATATGATGCTGCTAAAAAGAACATTATTTGGTGTATTTGGTGTAATGAAACGTGTTTATGCGGTTTAAGGTTCAAAAAACACATTATTTTCCACATACTGTACATTATTGTTCCCTTTCATGGGAACTTCGAACTGCATCCTCTAGGGGCCGCTATGGGGAACGCCTCGTCGTGACCCGTGTCTGAAGCATACATTGAAAAAACACCAACTCGTTGGCCGGCGACAGCCATGACGTCACTACCGGTGCGACTATCGTATAAATAGGAGCCGGGAGCACACATCATTCTCTTCTTCGTCTTCATTGACTGTTTTGTTTGAAGCGTGCATTTCTGTGGTAAAAGCGATCTCTATTTATCTCATTATGGCGAGCACTAGCAAAGCATTTAAGGATGTGTGCATCCGTGTTGACGTTGTTTAACATCTGATGACACACACGATCTATACGTTATTTGTTTGGGCGAAGAGCACGCACGCGATGTCTCCGAGGGGG